CCCTAAACCGTAAACCCTAAACCGAAGCCAAAAGTCGACCACGGTCGGAGGCAAGACCTCGGACGAGGTCTGCTTTCAGAAGCTCCCCGAGGCTGCAGAGGGTTTGGGCTTAGGGTTTAGGGCTTAGGGTTTGGGGTTTAGGGTTAGGGTTTAAAGGGTTGAAAGGGTTTAAAGGGTTTAGGGTTTAGGGTTTAGGGCTCTTTCTGTTCTACTGTAGGGTTTAGGGTTTAGGGCTCTTTCTGTTCTACTGTAGGGGGGCTTCATGATTAGAATAGGGTTTCTTTAATGTTTCTGTGAAGGATTCTATAAGGGCTACTATAAGGGTTTAGAGTTTAGGGGCCTTAATGATTAGAATAGGTTTTTGGGGCCCTACTACAATTAAAATAAGGAGCCCCAAAATAGTATAGGTAATTATGTAGGCCCCTCTATTACTTCAGGTGCTTGGGCGTCGCCCAACCTTGCGCCCTCAATCTAGCTGGCTAGCAAAGATGCCAAAGAAGCAACACAGAGACTTGACTTGGGGAGAGACACGCTGTAGGGGCCTGAATAATTGTCAATAATTGGAAGGGGGGGGGTGGTCCTTATTATACATATAGTTTAATTAGCCCATCACACTACAAGCATAATAAAAAGGAACACCCAAACCTCTGTTCTAATTATTAAGGTCGCCTACATTACATCCTGCGGTTCGTGCTCTCAGCCAGTCCTGATTCTGCACCCGCTGACGAGCCGCAGACGGATCGACCCTTGTAGCATGTTGATGTCACAATCGTCGCTAGCAGGGCCGCAGATACTTCGCACCCTTGAATGCGGACTTTCATCCGTCGCCAGGTGGAAGAGAAGGGCTTGCTCCTGCTGGCTGTGGCCTCTTTGCTTCCATCAGCCTATTCTTGGAACTTGGAGCTTTCAAGAAATGCTTCGAAAGATCCGGTTCTATGCTTTTCTAGCAGCCATGGGTTCCATCTGAACCGGCAACCTCTCCTGATGCTGGTTGTAGGGTAATACAGGGGCCTTAATAATTGGAGTAGGGTTTGGGGGGTATCCTATACTATAATCATAATAATAAGGAGGCCAATGTTGTGTATGCTGACATGGCAAGGGTTCTATCCAGCTCGGAATGCAGCTCAATGCTTGTCTGCTGTTCTACTGGTCTTTGTCCAGTCAATGCAAAACCTCAAATTCCGGTCAGAAACCTAGCACCACTACAACATCAGCTGACAACCACACCTAGACCTTAAACTTGCTGAAACTCTGAATCCCAGCCCCCCCCCCCCCCCACTCCGATGCCCCTTTGAAAGCTTTGATGCGTTGCTCCTGAAGTCTTCGAGGATGACCAGGGCAATCAGTTTGAGTGGAAGTTCGACAGCAGCAACGCAGTTCCTCGGCTGCACTACGGGTTCTAAAGCCGGGCCTACGTTCTGTTCGTTGAAGTGTGATTTCGTGTTGCGGGTTTAGGTCGCTGGTGGTTTTGATTTGGTATGTGGGAGCTTCTAGACTAAGCGACGGTAGTATAGATGCTGATTCGCATGATGCTTGCTATAATGATCCCTTAATGAGGCACCCCGCATGCAAAGAGCCCCGCAGGCGCTTGTAAGGATGCAAAGGGGCTCAAGACTTTGAAGGTTCCTAAAATGCCCTAAAACCCTTCAGAAATGCTCCAAAAAAGCCCCAACACCTGAACGTTCAGGGTCGGGGTTTAGGGTAAACCCAGAACGCCTAAAGCCTTAAATCTCGGAAGGGGTAGGGTTTGGGGGGTCGAGGGTGAAGGGCTCCCACGTCGCAGAGTTAGACCTGGGGAGAGCTTTAGGTTGGGTTTCAGAGTTTCGTGCTTTTAGGGTGAAGCTCCGGGTTGGTGGCTACAGATACTAAGGGTTCACCATCGAGGTTTCGATCACCACAACTTGCATTTTGCGTTGGGGCCCGCGAGGGTTCCGAAGCGAGCGGCGGGTTTAGGGTTTGGGTTTAGGGTGGGTTTAGGGTTTAGGGTGCTAGAGTAGATTTTTGCATGGTGTCCTTCACAATAATTGTCATCGTAATGGCCGTTCTTCGATGGTGCTCCATCAGACAGCGTGAGAGGATTCTCACAGTGGCCTTAGGTCCCAGGCCCTGTGAGTTGAGAACTTAGAACTGCGTCTGCTTTCCGAAGCCTGGAAGTAATTAAGCAGTTGAGGGTGTTTAGGGGCTATGACTACCCATAGGCCCTAAAGTGGTTCCTTTTGGGGCTTATATTCAGAATCCTATAAGGTAACCCCCAAAAGGAACTACTATGGGGCCTACGAGTATGACCGAAAATCAATCCAAAGTCGGCAGTCTGTCGTAGCCGCCAGACCAGTTGCTGCCTTCCAGCGTCGCTTCGCAACAAGAATGGGAATTTTCAGATCCCTACTTGCAAGCCTGACCGATTTCGACGAATTAAGTTGGGTCCCATATTGCTTGATCTATGGTCCGTGGAGGGTGCTATTAATACAGTATACCCCAAACCCCTTCTCTACTCATCAAGGCCCCTAAGCGATTAACCCCTAAAGCCCAAACCCCCAAACCCCTAAACCCCCAAAGCCCAAACCCCGAAGCCCCTAAAGCCCAAACCCCTAAACCCCTAAACCCCTAAAGCCCTAAACCTCCAAACCCGTAAACCCCTAAACCCCTAAAACCAAAACCCCTAAACCCGTAAACCC